ATTCTTCAGGAGATATTATAGTGGTGCCAAGGCTCTCAGTTTCATAAATGTTAGACAACAAGTCTTAAGAATATTAAATTCAGATAGGACGCTGATCTCAATTAACATTCAGGCTCAAAATATGCTGCTATGTTTCTACTGGATCCCGGGATCCCACTATAATTTCTCCTGAAGAAGATCCATTTTTTGAAACGTTGTTATGTAATCCGGAGACGACGTTGATTATGTACCTTGGTTCAAGGATTTTCTATTGAGTTGTGTATCATGTTGTAGTGCTTTCGATTGCAATACATAAACAGCATTCTTTATAAGTCTTATGACTGTTTGAGTGTGGGTCAGACGATCACGACTGTTGGCTTTATACTTGTTTAACTGATTGGGTCGTGTGTGTCCAAATATTTGCAGCAAGCTTTCCCGCTTCTGGTGAAGAAAGCAGTACAACGCAAAAGCTTTGGGTACTCCGGCTTCTGATAGAGTTGGCCCAGCACACAGAACCACTTTGTGGTCCTTTCCGTGCATGGACCTCATCCCTGGTTTTATCAGAGTTCAACTCGCAACACAACACCTTACGTTTATCCCTGGTTATAACAGCATTCGTTTATCCCTGGACAAGTGTGGGGCGAAATCGGGGTGACTTCAATGTAATGTGGAAACAAAAAATAACCCGAGATAATTACAGGGGTGAACTCAAGTGTAGTGTAGAATGTAAGTTCGGGGACAGGTTTGAACCAGGATTTAAACCGAAAGGACCTGTATTTTCTCCCCACCCCCATTACTTCCATCCCTGATGTACAAAATCCTCCAAACCCTGCCTTACGCTTCTTCTCCCTCTGTTCTTCTTCAGAGACTCGCGTACTGCATCACACCAGAGAATGAACATCACCTGGTAGCGCAAGGGAACGTGCGACAGTTTAAGGTGTGTGTTTACCTGTCCTGCTTCTACGTTCCAGAGGCATGTATTCAATAAGCATCACTGTTTTGCTCACCTGTTTCAGGTCGTGAGCTGTCTTTGGAAGCCCCGGTAGTCAGAAGGATGCATTTCATAAACCAGTGAGCAAAGAATGAGTATTTAGTGTTCAGACGTCCACTTTCTTTTGGAAACAGTATGATGATCACTAAAGCTTTTGCTCGGTAGATGTGTCCATTGATAAGGCACCCCTCCTGGTTGTTTGGCTGGAACGGAGCGCCACAGCTCAGAGGTGGTCTTAGTGATTCTGAACCCTGGTCAAAAATCCAGGTTAGGGCCCCAGAATCACCACCCCCCACCACTGGGGCCCCTGCCTCGTCTACCCCCTGCCACTGGGGTCCAAGCATGGGGCGGCCATCATCCTGTCTGAGGCTGGTGGGAACCGCTGGTGCCACCAGATGTTTGCTGCTTTGGCCTTGAAGGGGATTCGGAGCAAGCAGGCACTGTTGATGCTGAGGTGGCTGCCCCGTCTGTTGGGGGGGGGAGCAGGGTTATGGGCCCAGAACAATTGC